ATTAGATGAATATGCATATATGTGATTAGTTTAGCTCTGCTTTTTCATTTTTATTTATTTTTTTATTACAGACGTAGTGTAAAATCTTTCATGATAATTTGAAACGTAGCCGTAATGCAACGTACTAAATTATAGCAGTTTTTTTTTTTCTCCTGCAGGACTGCGGTTTGTATAATTTGATTATTTGGTTATATCTGCTGGGATTACCTCATTGGGCGTTGGGATAGACCATTGGTTATAACATAATCTTCCCCTAACTGAGCATGCGCGTTACCTTTAAAATTTCAGAATATTTTATTGTGCATACCTCTGTGACAGTAGGCCCATGCTGTTGGAAAAGAGCAGAACATAACCATCAGCCTAAATGGTAAACAACTCACATTTATACGTTTATTCTAACTAGATGTGATAGTCTCAGCAACTATAAGGGTTATTTCAATGCATAATTTGATAAATGACCTAGATGCATGCTCATTATTTTCTTATATAAACAAATTGACCTATAGCAGCCCAATCTTTTTTTATTTATTTTTTTAAAAATCTTGCAGCAAAGTTGAGTAATTGTATTAGTCCATGTTGTCTGGCCTGTAGCCCACACTATGCTTGGTTGGCTTAGGCCGCCACAGCTATAGACAAGTTTGTGGACATGAAGTTAACTCATTAGTGACCAGACAAAAGTGAAATCTTAATCTCCCTTAATCAACTAAAAAAAAAAACACATCCTGATATTATTTAGATGTATTCCATACCAGTGTGCAGGATTGTGCTTTCCGTATTTACATTTTAAATAGACAGAAAATGATCAATGTATCCCAGTGGCACCGTTACATGAATGATACTGTGATTCACTGTTTGGCTTGAGTGGACAGTGTGCTGACTGAACTTGCAGGATTTGCTGTGATTTAACATTGCATATCGCACATCAGTCCCTTCATTTAATAAGAAAATGAATATTTGTTCTCTGCGTGCTGAATGGGTCGCATTCTCCATGTCACTCCTCTCAGTTTTCTGACATTCTGTGGAGCCCACAAAGGCTCAGGTTCTGGTCTACATTCACACCATGATCCAGCAGATATTCATAATAAAATAAGGTACCGTTTTGACTCATGTTAGTCGCAGTAATACTGCTCGTGCATGGAGCATGTGCATCCACTTATTTTCCAAATGCTCAGGGTTTAGACAAAGCAAATATTTACCTTACGCGGGGTGTTTTCAAATGCATGTAGCCTGTATCGGATGTTGTTTTAGTGGTTTTTGTGCATGTGTAGGCACTGATAACGACTGGGATTCTCTGACTGTGGTGCTTAACACCACAAACTCTTGTAATTTGGAATTTCACAATGTAATTCTTGTATCGCTTTGCTGTTGGGCACATTTTTCTGCTGTGTAGGTGTTCGTTTTTTTGTTCGCGATGGCAAAAAATGTTTCATCATTCCTTAATTGCTCCGTATTATACAACACAGGTTCACAACTGCATAGACTGCAATGATAACTGCACGTATCATATTGTGTATTTAGTAGAATGTATGGTCAGTTGGGCCTTGAGTGAGTGCAGCACATGGTGTTTGCCTTCATATGGCTGATGGAGAGAGCTAATTGACTCCTTGCTGTGATTTACTGGAGCATCTGTATCCAAATGGACTCATCCCAAACCTGTTAATTCATCTAAATTTCATAAAGTCATGGCAAGACTGTGCACTGCCATCCCTCATCAATTATAATATCTCAGCACAGTCCACACTAATGCATGCAGTTGTTTAAACATATACACACACACCATACACAAATATGACACACACAAGGCATTCTTACAGGACATGAAAACAGGAACACAGATAACACAATGCGGATATTTAGAAATAATTTTGTGCTTTTCTCTTTATTATTTTTTCCAGTGTCTCACATTAACATTCATCACCATCACCTGGCGGTTCTTGCACAGACAAACGTATATTTTTATTAGAAAAACATCCTTATTTAAACGTATATATTCTGTGTGCGTGTGTATGTTTCTCGGCTCTTTGCGAATTGTCTTTCCCAAAAAAAAAGGGGCATTATATTTAAAAGAATCGCTCTCATCGCCACTTCAGGTTAAAGAAATTGAACTTGCTGAATTTTCAGTCTGGTCTACAGCATGGCATTTCACTGTGAGTCTGCTCTTTTCACTGGCGTTGGACCATAGTGTTCCATTTTATTCCTGCATTGCGCCTTTGGAAAATTCATTTTGTGCACATTTACTGCACGAGGAGTGACTTGGACCTTATGGATGTAAAGGCTGCTGCCTGACACGAGTGTTTTGATTGTTTGGAGTGATATTTTGTGTGCAGCAATCACTAGGATTTTGTCTGGCTTGTCAAGCAACCAACATAAATGAGCAGACCCATGAAGCTGCAGGGCTGGAACACATTTCACATGTCAGAATGCTATAACTGGTCAGAATGTAGATATTAAAACTGAAGTTCGTGTCTGGTTTCCAAATTTTAAAAATGCTGCATTGTGGTGGATTTTGCACGTTTAAATAAATAACACTGGAGCGCTTTAGTGACTCAATACTAAAGCTAAATAACATGTTTACTCATCCTAGATATTCCACTTTTCATTTATTTATTTTTATTGCTGCATGATAACCTCTCCGGCCCAGCATTAACCCCATGAATTTAACATTTAGCTCAATTTATTTAGCAAATTTCAAACATATAAATTTGCAAATTAAAATACGTTCTACCCATTTGGTTGATCATGTTATTAGTAAAACTACAAAAAAAGAAAAGCTTGATAATTTGTAAATTGCTTATTAGGCCAAAGTCATGAGCACATTAAAGGTCATTGGAACATTTAAACAAATGTGATTAGTTTTCATGAGTTTTAGAGTATCTTAAAATAAAATAAAAGAAAATAAAAGAATACAATCTGCAGTTATCAAACAGGCCTATTACACACTTGACTTGTTGTGACTTTATTACTGAGAAGGTGAGCCTGATAGGATCATGTTAAATCATAAAGGTGCAGCGCTTTTTCTGCTTTTGCCTTTTGTTGTTGTTCTTGTTGCAGTAAATGAGGAGCTGGGATCATATGGAGAGCAGCTCTGTCACTCCTTTATGCTATCTGAATGACAGATTGGAAACTTTCGGTTTATTGGCCTTCAACCCTCAATCATTTTCGGAAATGCATCAGGTTAAAGGTTGACAAACATGAGCGTCCATTACAATCATGACGGAATTAGGCCAGTTCTGGGCCTGTCTACTATTTTGCAGCACTTAATGTCAAGTGGGCCCCCTTGCTTTGTCTCTGCCTAGGACCCACTGCAGCTGACGTCAGCATTACAATGTGGAAAAGGATTTTTTTTTCTTTTTTCTTTTTATGTTTTTTTTGTGAAGAAAAAAAAAAAAGTTAAAAATTCTGTCAGCTCCAGTCTGTGGAAATAAAGGAGGAGTTTTCACCTTAAACCTATAAGCTGCAGTCCGGAGGCTACGAGGCACCTTGTAGATTTAAAACAAAAGTAGCAGATAAAAGAAATCTGGCTAAACTGGTCAAGGTAGCACAGAGGAAAAAAAAAAAAAAAAAGAAAAAGGTGGTGCGTTGATAGAGCCGGAGCCACGTCTGTAGGAAAGCGAGGAGACTTGCAGGAACGAGTGCTGCACTATAGCAGCGTGGACAAGTGCAAGCTGCTGTCCTCACAGCACCCCAAAGTAAGAAAGTTTATCTGAGTTTCCCAGGAACAGCGGAGCCCATCCGCTACTGCTCGTCACGTTTCATCATTTACATTTTACGTAACCATTTGGGGGGAAAAAAAGAACACACACACACACACATTTGTGCCAGGACGCATGGAGCACTTTTGGAGATCATTAATTTATTAGGCTTAATGAGAAAGGATTTATGTATAGAAGTCTTTAACATTTGGCTCTAAGGTAAAATAGTACATCCTGTTCTGTTCTGCTGGAAGATGTCTTAACTTTAATAATTTGATTATGAAATCTCCCTCTCCTCGTCGTGCACTTGTTGCTGTATCAAAGTTTTATTTTTCTAAAGACACGAGGCCAACAAATGAGTGGTTATAAAAATGCATGCTCCATAAAATATACATGTGACGCAATACTCCATGAAAGCTCAGTAAGCTGAACGTTACATTTTTAAAAAATGTGCTTTAAACTTTGCAGGTTAATAACGCGCAGAGACATTGTTAGTGTTTAATAGTATTTTTAAATAACTGATTTAATTGTTAGAATTAGTTTCTCTGTGACTTTTCACAGTTCCCAAACGTGGCATTCCTCTCAAAACGCTCGTCTTGACAATAATTGGCCTGGACACGCAGGGACCAGTCTCTCTATTATTCCTGCGAGCCACGAGCAGGACATTTGCTTTGGCCAGATTGCAGTGAAATAACAAGACGGTGGACTACAGACCGCGATTGTGTTGTGTTTTTGCTCACGTCTGCCTTTAATCACTTGACTTCCACCAGATGATCAGTATTACGCATTAACTTGTACATTTTTTCCCCCTATGCAGAGATTTTAGAGAAGGGGTCTTATGAGAAGGCGCCTGAAGTTAAAGAGGCAGCAATATTGGGGAGTATCGCGGCACATTTCAAAGCATTTTCTCTGCGATATTTGAAAACGGAGTCGTGCAGTGAACGCCTGCGTGTCCCTTTTAAAACAAACCCAGCGCCTGTCAATCACGGCGCATTCCAACCAATCCCAAAGCTCCCTTTTTAAAAGCAGGTTTGCCTGCTGTGCTTTTATATTGCACCATGGCCTGTTTCGAAGCATTTTTACTACCACGGTTATTGCCACAAATCAAGAGGGCAAAGTGAACGGCATGGGACTCACACCAACTTTAACGAAATTGAGTCTGGTTCCTACTTCTGCGAAGTTCACGGCCAAGAATTTCACATGCAGATGATATACAACAAGGAAAATGGGAAACAGAATTTCTAGGTGTATCCTGAGTGCTGAATTGGTTTGATTTTGCAAACTCATAGCCAAAACTCACAACAAAACATGACAAGCCTTTCGAGGTTTAGTGGCTGCCCTCTCTCTTGCGTCAACCCCGGGGAGAGCAATACTGAACCCAGCGTGGTGCTGCCACCTTTGGCAGGAGAGCACATGGGACACCCCACTGGCAGTTCCTTAAAACTCTGCCCCTCGCACAATTTGCGAGACTACCCTGAGACGAGGTCCAGTGCATATGTTGACCATTCGGTTCCCAATTTTTCAGACTCTGGATACCCCAGTCACCGTTTAGAGCACAGCCCTAGGGGCATTATCATTGGAGCCAATCTTTCTGGAGCCGGCATGCCACCCGTCACTGATCAACTGGCATCAAGAGCTAACCAACATGGCGGGATTGGAAGGTATCGTGACTTTCCTGGCTGCAGAGACAACAGAAGCCATACTTTTTTCTCAAGTTATCAGGAGCAGGCCCACGCCTCCACCGACGCGTCCCGAGATCTCGGCAGCCAGATGATGCTGGGTCTACCTGGCGACCTCCTCACCCGGACTCACCCTTATGGCCAAGCCATCAGCCCCAAGGGAAACAGCCAGCAGCTTGTCACACAGTTCCTGGGTCTGTACAAACCCCTGAACATGGCAATTCAGCGTGGAGGAGGCGACGCTTTCCTCAGGTGCTCTAAGCAAACAGTCAAGCATGAGCTGGTGTGCAAGTGGAGTGACGGCCAAGAGGGGGCTGGGAAGCTGCTGCCTTGCTCCAGAGCCTTCGGGACCATGTATGAACTTGTCACCCATGTGACAGTGGAGCACGTCGGAGGACCCGAGCACTCTGAATATGTGTGTCACTGGGAGAATTGTGCGAGAGACAGGAAGCCTTTCAAAGCCAAATACAAGCTGGTGAACCACGTCAGAGTCCACACAGGGGAAAAGCCCTTTCCCTGCCCATTTCACGGCTGTGAGAAAGTTTTTGCAAGATCAGAAAATCTAAAGATCCACAAGAGGACTCACACAGGTTAGTTCACGACCATAATACAATGCAGAATTTAACAATAATAATAACAATAATTATCATACGTGTGTAATAATAATATAACGTGTAAAATAAAAATACAAATGTGGCCAGTATTTTTTTATTTGGCGTCACAAGCTCATTCATAAATATTTATCAGGTTTTCATTTGTTGCTATCTGTGAGCATATTTTTATTTTTCAATATTTAATTGTTCGCTAATTCTTCCGTTCTATTATTATTATTGTTATTATTGTTATTATTATTATTAGTTTGTATTATTGTTATTATTGTGTTGGTGCTATTTAGGCCTGCACTCTGACAAAAGTGTTAATTTTTTTTGCAAATCTTTCCGTGCTGCGTCTCCGTTATTGCCCGTTTTTTTGCAGGACAAAAAGCATGTGTAGTTGCTCTCCTCTTCCTCCTCCTCCTCCTCCTCCTCCTCCTCCTGCATGCAGGAGCCACAGAAATAGAAGTAGCAAGACAGCTGCAAACGAGTACAGTCAGCAGGCCTAGCGGTTTGGGTGCCTCTCCCACCTCATTCAGCGAAATTATTAAATAAATGCAGGGACACCGGAGAGCTGTGACGTAGCCGTTACGCTGCCTCTGCCTCCCAGGGACTTCATCTCCTGCGCTCAGGAACACTAGCAGAGCACGTCACACAGGGATGCAGGAGAAGTGATGATGCAGTGGGATATATAATATACCTGTCTATATATAAATATAAATACGTATAAAAAGGTGACTTAAGGGGTGACCTCAGTCATTATACACCCAGTGAGTCATATCTCCCACAAAACGGATGATTTATTTATCGCCTTATCCTCGTTTTACTTCCATCACTTTGACAGGCCTCCTACTCGTCACTGCGAAATTATGTCATAATGCATATCACACTGCAACGTGACTTTGTTTTGGTTACACAACAAATAGGAGCACTCGGTTATCTTTTATTTAAAGGATCCAGCCTTATTTATTTTATTGTTCTTATTTTCACACATTCTAAGGAATTCTAGCTACCCCATCTAACCAGGTGTTATTGCTTTGAAATATTTAAATTGAAATTTGACGAACAGAGAAAATAAATATTGGGCTTTCTCTACTTCTCCTGTTAATTGATTTATTTAGAATAAATGGCTTTTGTGAGGCCATTACGCACATTTCAGAAAATAAACCAAGCTAGCTTCCTGCTAACTTTTTTCTTTTTTTTTTTTGAAATTCCAAAACAAAGATATCCATCAATCACACAAAATGATAATTTAACAGACACCGTTCAAGTGTTATTTATGAGTCCAGCTTTTTTAATTTTTATTTATTTTACGGCTGCGTCAGTGTGTGCGCAGGAGAGGCAGCAGCGCGCAGCTGTAGGCAATTTGGTGCAAGAAGATCAATTAGCATCTTGATAGCCATAATTCATTCTATGCGCGATAACTGAATTTAAACAAATCTTTGCAATTGCTGTGGCAGGTTAATCTAATGCATGTTTAACCGCAAGCCTTGTTGATTCAGACAGATAAGCTGCCGCACTTGTTGCCATCAGGGTCACGCCAAAGTTTCACCAACTAGTTTTAGCTGGGTTCCAATGAGTCAGAGCTATTTTTTTTATTTATTTATTTTTCGCGGATTAGAAGCAATTTTCCTTCCTAGATATTTTACAACCAGGGTTGATGTGACCTGCTAAGCGGCTCTGTGTTTGCAGAGTCACCCACTGTAAGCTGAAGATCAGATTCGCAGGGCGCAGTGGAAAACCTTTGGCGTGCGTTTCTCAGTTTAGGGTCACCTTTCAAATGACATGCTGATATGGAGAGCACCCACTTTGACTTAGGCTACTTCAATATTTGGTTTACATGACAAGGCAGAACATGCACGGACCTACAAGCAATTTTTTTTTTCGTAACTCGCCGTCATTTCTCTCTTTGCACGTTTAGGTGAAAAACCTTTTAAATGTGAGTTCGAGGGCTGCAACCGGAGGTTTGCGAACAGCAGCGACAGAAAGAAGCATTCTCATGTGCACTCCAGTGATAAACCCTACATGTGCAAGGTCAGGGGTTGCGACAAGTGCTACACCCACCCGAGCTCCCTGCGAAAGCATATGAAGCTCCACTGCAACAAGACCCACGTCGCCAAAGGCAGCGGCGGCGGCGGCGACGCGCGTCCCGGTGACGGGGGTCACATTGCGGAGGGCAGGTCAACCCGAGTCTCGGATGGAACCCAGATCAGCCCCCCTCATCCGCCCACCTCCGCTCAAGATGTAACCCTGTCCCCAGAGAGTCGAGACGAGTCGACCCCGAGGTCACGTTTCCATCACACGTTTGACAGCAGTTTGGACTACTCCTCACACAGGTCACAGCCCCTCTTGGACCCTTTGTTGCTGCAGAGAGGCAGCTACAGGTCCCAGTCCTCCCAGTACCCCTGCGGCCAGACGGGTCACACTTTTGCCCAGAGCTCAAGGACTTTCTCCTCCGCCTCTCCCTTTCAGAAAAGTATTGTCAATGGATGGTACACATGCCACAGCGGCGTGGACTCTTTCCCACCAAAGCAATGCAATAACATCCCGTCTCTCTGAGTTCTTGTTGACACACATCTAACAATTCGTGGGCCTCTTTCTTTCCTCCCCCCTTCCTCATGTTGTAGCCTAAAACTTACATCTGTATCTCTATTATTCAATGTACTTTGTGAATGTTGTATCCAATATTTTGTGAGACGTCCTCAGTCATCGTATTTAATCTGCGAAATGTGGCGAGCTTTATTTGTTGTTGTGAGGCCTTGTTTGGTTGGGTTTGGCCTGTAGCCTTTTACATCTCCCCATAATGGGTTATAGGAACAGTTACAAAGTGTTTATGCGTAATTGTGCGCCGTGTTGCATAATTATTAAAGATATCTATCTTAAGTGAGACACAAGAAAAAGAAAAAAAAAAAGACAAAGGATTTTTTTTAAATGGAAATCTGCGTGTTGACTCTTCTGAACTTAGAATCTATTGCTGGAAAGTAAAAGGAAGCGTCTTGCTGAATGTAGCCCTGACTGTAGGGGTCTTTGTTGAATGTAAACTAGGTGTAATGTATGTCGGGATGAATAGAAATATTATTCATGACTTATGTATGTCGCAAGATGAAATAAATATCTGAAAGATCTTTCCTCAAGTAAAAATTTTGAGATCTAACAAACCTACGTGATGGGCCTGGAGCATGATTTGTCTGTAATTAATATACCGTGAGGCTCAGTAGTTTTTTTTTTTTCTTCTGCTCTTTATTAACTTCCACTTGTTTCGCCCCTTTTTTTCATTCCACATCGGTACTCTGTATTATATGTATATTTCACATTTCTGTGCAAAGTAAGACCAGTGTGAATATAAACCACAGTGTTCGTGTTGCTGTTAAAACGTTTAATTAGCATACAGTTCTACTGTACATAAGCCTACTGTATAATTAATTATGTATCCTATATTTTATTAAAGTGTCTATATTCTCTTTGATCAGGCGTGTGTGCCTAAAACTCAATCGATGCATTTTCATCATGAACCCAAACTTTGTTCTTCCTCTTGCAAAAGAAAAAAAAAAAAAAAATCCACAGTCCGCACCATATTTGCAGGTTTTGCAGTTTTGCGCAAACTAACCCAGGCCTGCCGCATGGACACGCGGAGTGTTCCAGCGCAGGCCCTTCAAACGCTGTGTTCTGTTATTAAACTGAGGTTTTAGAAGAATCATCAGAGTGAAGTGTAACGTGAAAAGCACCAAATTTTGACCCACAAAATCAAACGACAAACGCGTCCTTTCAGCTTCTAATTTTCTCCACTGCGCAAGGTGAAGCGCACGTTTTCCATCACTGGTGTCCACTGGTTTCCTTTCCCCTCGTCTCAAAGTCAGTTTTCTTCATTTTTTATATGCCGTCAATCAATTTGTTTTATTTTTTCATTTGATTCATGTCTTTCTGTCTCACTTCACCATAAAGGTCAACAAGCTGCAAACACAAAAATCACCCACACTGCCTCAAAGTATGCATTGTTCAGATACTAATAACTACTGTGTCTATCATTAGTGTTCTCATAGGACAGACACAACAAAAAAAATTACTACATAAAGGTTCTGACATGCAGTTAATTTCCAGCTCCTCACTTTAAGCCTGATTTAATAGATTTTGCTGTTTATTGCTGGAAAAAAAAAACAGATGATGAAAAGTTGAAAAAGTTTTTAAAAAGCAAATAAAACAAGATGTTAGTTTTCTCTTTTGTATGTACACGTTGCTCATGGTAAATGTTTGCCTCGCTTCATCTACAGCTTCACTGACGCATTTATTTATGTGTGCTTGCTTTTCCTACCTTCTGGAATGTAAATTTCAACAAACGCCTCATTATTTTACAGGAATAAGCTGTGCAGATTTCTACTGTCCTTTTCTCGAATTCAGCTTCGCTTCTAATCCTGATGCAGAGGATAAACTCATCTTCGCTGACTTGTTGTCTTTTGTGCAGCTCCTTCTTTGGTTTACACTCCCTGTTTCCTGTGCTGGAAATTAGACCTCTCTCTAACAACATTACCCACTCAAAAGAGGGAGTGATTGGAAAATGAATGACCAGGTTGAAGTACAGTTAATGGTGTGTAACTAAAGATGATTTACACAGTGAGTATATGTCATTGTGCTGCCCAGGAAAGTGCTGCAATAGCTTGATTATTTGCCAGGTCAGAGGGGTCACAGTTATGAGGACTAAAGTAAAAAAAAAAAAAGAAAAAAGTCTTTGTATTCGTGTAGATTTATTCTTGGTACCATTACACATGTGGATGTTAAGTGCTATTATATATACCAGTCTGCTTCACACATATTAAAAGGAAATGAGGTCAAAGGTGCACTAATTTTACATTTCTTTGAAATACATGGTTATGTTGATCTGACAGCTAACTAGCTTTAATGTATGTATGTTCTTTATTCTAGCAAAAGGATTTCAAGGACAGGCAGTTGTCTGGATTGCCACAAAGATTCATGGGGTAAATGTTCTGACACTGCATTAGATGCTGTTTTCCTTTCGCTCGACCACACTTTAGGTTCTTTAAAAGTGCAGATAAGTTTGGTTGCGTTGCTGTTATTTTAATGTTATTTGTGAGGCGACGTACAAGCGGCGTACTCACCTCCCTACATGTTTATAAAAATCAGACGAACCTGTTTTAATTCTCTCATATTTCTGAGTGACACACGCAAAGCGAGCGCGTTCATTGTACATGCATGCAGTGTAATTGTTCTGAAAATTGTGATGCTTGCAATCTGTGCTCAACTTGTTTATGCATTCTGTGTGCTGTTTCCAGTGTATGTTGCACGGGATCCTCATGGGGATACATCATTTGGGAGAGTCGGATGATATTTTTGATGGTGCATTTTGCAAAATCCCATCTCGAGTTTGACCACAATTACTTTTTTTTTTTGTTTTTAACTTGCATTCAAGTGTCTCTGTGAAAACCATCCACACGTTTCTCAGTTTTAATAACCAGTTTGAACTGCGTAAATGAGCTTTTCTTGTTTTTGCTAATGTGAGTTGGCACGGCTACATCAGTGCCACTCAGGCTGGTAAAAATAATATTCATGGAGCTGAAGTTTTCATGGTAAGTAGTACGATATGTACTAAGATCATTTCAAGTGGTTGATGTAAAATATTTAAATTGTGAAGTGCTTCTTTCTTCAAGCAAATTGAGGCAAACTCAGTGGGCTTTGATCAGTGTACTTTAATGATTTGATGAGTGAAATTTACGAGGTCACTTTCTCTTGTATTGCAACCTTATCAATAGCTTGCATCAAATGTTTTAGGTGTTACAGTAGCATCAGTGTTTTTAAAGCAGTCTTAAGAGATTCTGTGTTTCAGGCTTGGAGCTCTTCTTCTAAACCCCAACTGTTGTATGCACTGTCACATTCTGCCCTTTTCTCCTCTGTTTCTAAAAATAATACATCTCTCAACACAAAACATAATAGAGGTGATCAAACATGATTTTTGAGCTCAAAGAAGCCTCTCTATTTGTATAAGCAAATTCACTTCTGTTGTGCGAGCACATGCATGAAGCCAAAAGGCAACAGCCCAAACTGTGAATTTCACAGTATGTATCCGCTTCGTCGTATATCCTGTAGAAGGCGTAGTAATATTCCATAAACATTGAACCCTGCCGCACCCTTCCCCCCAGTAATCACAACTGATTAGACCTCCGCTTCCCAGTTTGCCACTTGTCCACCGCCATCTTTACTTTTGCGCTCTCTGCCTAGCAACAAGCGCAGGCGCCATTTTGGACGGGGTATACATCAATTTAATGTAAATAAATCCATTTCACCTTGAGATCTCCTGAATTATGGTCTTGCCCCCCCACAGGCTGCTGTTGTGCCATGCTTGGGTTGAGCCCCAGCTGTGTACCAGGGGGTGGGCTGCTTTGTCACACCAGGTTTTATGGATCATCATAACCATATATGACATCTTGCGTAACTTACACTGCGCGGCTCCCATACTTTCCCAAATGCGGTTGGAGCGGCTGTGTCAGCGTTGACTCCAACTGACCAAGTGTGTTTTTAATTGGATCTCTTGCTTTTACCCCATCCTCCCTAGGTCAAGCCAGTGGTGCTGTTGCTCCCCAACTTGCTTTCTTTTCATCCATCCCTCTGTGCCCCCCTCCCTTTTTTTTTTTTTTTTTTAACCAGATCCGCTTGTTCCTCCGTCTCATCTATCTCTATCCCTGCAGCTCCTGGCTATCTTCACCCACTATGGTTCCTTCATGATGGCCCCCTAATCTCTACCAGTGTGGTTCCATGGTAAGTAGGTATCCTCTGCCAGATTCTCCCCCAGATATGCATGGAACTTGACTCATATATCTTACTTTGTTTTTTTTTTTTTAGCTGTGCCTCTCTCTCCATGGAAAATTGCAGCCCCACATGGTAAACTAAATGCAGCTGCATTGCTGCTTTTTTTCTTTTTTTCATATTCCCTCTCCAGTTGAAGAATGGTTGCTACAGAGAGGTTTGGCATCCAGGCATCAGTGATGCTAACGATGCATAATGAGGGCAATTGTAACAATGAACAAAGATTGATTCCAAAGTAAAAGACTGAACAACATATAATACAACTGTCAAATAGATGAAATAGTGGAGCGAAATGAACGTGTAGCTCATGCCACTCGCTCCTATCTGAGAACATTAGGAAGGTAATCTGTTTCATGTCTAAGCCTGTGTTAATTTGACAGCTTGACAATTAATAAGCTTATAAAACACACACATCAGAAGCAGGGCTCTTACGTAATACAATGCAATCATTACAAGTATATGCAAATGTTTAGTGTGTTTACCAATTGCAAAATGGTGAGTAGGAATCTAGCGTCCCGGCGCTGTGCTCTTAAGATTTAACCGGACCGATCCTTTAGATTTTAGACCATCTTCATCTGCACTGCAGTTTTCTGATTTCAGCGGTGCCAACCCCCTGTGTAGTCCAGCCTGTACCCGGGCTTATTAAACTGGGCTCCTTGTCATTCTTCCCAGTGGTCGCTCCACTGTCAACTTAAGCCCCTGAAATACCCAGCTCTCCGACTATTGTTACAGAATTTACCAAAAGT